GCAGCCGCAGCCGCAGCAGCAGCAGCAGCAGCAGCAGCAACAATCCCCCTACTCGCCATTTCCTCCCAGCCAACCACAGCAACAACAACAACAAACTGGCTTCCTTCCTCAGTCAACCGGCTATGGGCCTCAGCTGGTCGGGCTAGGAGGCTCACAGCTACAGCCTCAATCTACAGGATTCCCCACCGGGCAGCTGCAGCCTCAATTTACTGGTTACCCTGGAGCATTATCACAATCGCTTCAGAATGGTTATCAGGTTTCAGCTCAGCAACCACAATACACGGGGCTTTCATCCCAGCCGCAGGCTGCGCAGTTCCAACTCCCATCGAATACAAGTCTCGCTGTTCGACCTGCTCCTAGGACATCAACGGAAATGGCAGACTCATTCCAGAGCAGTACTGGTATGGCGCCGCCGCCGCCGCCTAAGTCAGCCGGGAATAAGATTCCCAATATCAGACTGTCATTCATCACGGCGCAGGACCAGGCCAAATTTGAACAGCTCTTCAAATCTGCCGTGGGGAATAATCACACCATGAGTGGTCAGTCATGCGGATCGACCTTAGGAGAGCCTTACCTCGCATGGTTACTAATACCTTCTCACAGGAGAGAAAGCCAAGGAGCTCCTACTACGGTCAAATCTTTCGGGAAGTGATCTATCCAAGATCTGGTGAGTTGCCAAGCTCCGTCTCCAGTATCAGGATGTTGCTAATGATTACAGGGTTCTATCTGATTCTACCAAGTCAGGGCAGTTGTTTTTCCCCGAGTTCGCTTTGGCAATGTATCTATGCAACCTCCGGATCACGGGCAGGGATCTCCCAGAGGCCCTTCCCGAGAAAATAAAGAACGAGGTATCTAGCATGGTTGACATAATCTCTTTCCAAGTTCCGGATACACAACCGGAGCCCGTCGCGAGGACAAATGTCCCTAACTTTGATGGCCCAATGATGGAAAATCAAGCTATACCTTCAGCTCCAAAGCAGCCGCAGCCTCAGCAACCTACTAACGCCCAGCTTTTGACCCAGCTCGCGGCGCAGCACACGGGCTTCCCTCAAACGAGCGGCTTCCAGCAAAATCAGTCATCGTTTACAGGCCAAGGCTCTCTTCCTTCGCAAATCACAGGTCTACCTGGGCAATCTCGGCAGCAAGATTTGCAGCCCCACCCAACAGGTTTCATGCCTAACCCTCAACCCACGGGTTATAGCGGGCATCGCCCTCCTATTCCACCGATGCCTACCGGTCCCGGCTACAGCCTTAGTCCTTCACAAACCGGGGCCGCCCTCGGGTTAGTTGCGCAGCCTACCGGTGTTCCCGGACAGTGGGGCTTCGTCAATGCCCCGTCGTCGGGGTTGCCTAACATTGAAGCTCTCAAGCAACAGCTCATGCCGCAACCAGGACGCGAAGGAGGCTTTTCCGCTGCTGGTCTTTCGGGCAACGCTCGAATTCCGTGGGCTATCACGAAAGAGGAGAAAAAGATTTATGATGATCTGTTCCGAGCATGGGATGGGTTTCGCAAAGGCTTCATTGGCGGTGATACTGCGATCGAGATCATGGGCCAAAGCGGCTTAGACAGAAAAGACCTAGAACGCATTTGGACGTTGGCAGATCCTCACAATAGAGGGCGTCTCAACATGGACGAGTTTGCTGTTGCGATGCATCTGATCTATAGGAAGCTCAACGGGTATCCAGTGCCTAGCCGCCTACCACCGGAGCTTGTTCCCCCATCAACCAGGAACTTGAATGATTCTATTGGCACAATCAAGTCTATGCTTTCACAGGATGCAGAAACACGGAAAGCTTCAGGCGCGTTTCTACAGCCGCAGAAGACCGGTGTTAGCTATCTGAAAGAACATTCATTCCGTGGCGGTTCGGCTTCTCCGGGAGCCGGCCGCAAAGATGCCACTTTGTTTAAGAACAACGATGAGGCAGCTGCCGGTTATCGCTCCAGCGCTCGTCGTCGTGTAGGTAACAGTGGTCGGACACCGTCCCCTGCTACTTCACAGGCACCTGAAGAGGAATTTTCTATCGAACAATTAAAGAAGAAGTTGCGCGAGGCGCAGATAATGCTCGATGCCGTGGACTTTCAGGACGAGAATCAGGCCGAGGAGGATGATGCTTTAGATCGGCGAGACCGGAGAGAGGCGGAAAGCCTGATGGATCGCATTCGACGTGTGCAAGATGACATTGACACCCACCCAGATGCTTTCTTGCGCAACCTTGATTCTGGCGCAGAACGGCGGTCGCTACGCCGTCAGCTACAGGCTTTTGAGGACCTAGTTCCGCAAATTGCATCGGAGGTGAGGCGCATCGAACGAGAGATTGCAGAAGCTAGATTAGAGCTATTTCGCCTCAAGGATGCCAAGGATCATCCTGACAGTGCCTCTAACATCGTTGGCACAGGGCCCGGGGGTGCTGTGACTGAGGCTGATCGCATAAAGGCACGGGCGCGTGCGAGGATGCAGGCCCGCGCTGCCGAACTCGCTGGAAGGCCTACCCCGCCTTCCCAGGATGATGATGGAGCTGCTGCTCGTCGCCTCGAAGCCGAAGCCGCCAAAGTGAAGGTTGAGCGGGAGAAAAATGAGACGATGACCCGCGATGTGGAAGTTAGCGTGAAGGAATTCGCACATAGTCTTGAAGACAGCCTCAAAGACGGTGGCGAGAGTTCCACACGTGAGCACGAAAGAAGACGTTGGGAAGATGCCTTGGGTGTGGAAGATGTTATTCGGGACTTCATTTACGACTTGAAACGCGGTAGCCGCACTGCCCATATTCGTAAGGATGAGTAAGACGTCCCTCTATGTCCCCCATGAACACGATATCGGACGCAGCCTGACAGCCCTGGGAACGACCTCTTTGACTGACATTTGCATCTAGACAATCTGGGCTAGCTACTGCCAAAGACCAGCGCCAGTATGATGACGATAGATTATCCTCGAACGTACCTGCCGTACGCTCCTCCCCCGTCTCCACAGGCTCTATGGGATCGTTGCCTGGCTCTACACATGAGGATCGGGTGGCGGCTGCCAGGGAGCGTGCACAAAAACGCATTGCTGAGCGAATGGCAGCTGCCGGCCTGAAGCCTCAAAATGACGCCATAGAAACTCTTGCCCAGCGTCAGGAGCGAGAGAAGAAGGAACGCGAAGAACGGTTAAGGCGAGCCGAAGAGGAAGATGCTAAGCGGGAACAAGAGAGACAGCGACGTCTGGCTGAAGAGCAACGAGGACCCGTGATAAGTTCTAAACCAGCTGGCAAGAAGCCTCCACCAGCACCACCTTCGAGGAGAGTTCGCACCGACAGTGCGGACCAGGTTGATGCGAAGAAAGCTGCAAATGCAGTAGCAGAAACAGAACAGTCTATTCGTGAACAAGCCATCGAAGTAGAGCAGCGTGCAGTAGAAGAAGAGACCATGCGCTTAGAGTATGCCCCCATTGCGAGCCGATTATATAATCATTTGACTTACATAGACACCTACTCTAGGTCTGAGGCCGAACTGCGTGAAAAGGAGTTGATGAAAGAGAAAGAAGCACAGGAAGCGCGCCTTGCTGCACTTCAGGAGCAGGTTAGGCAAGGCAAGATGAAGAAGCAGGAAGAGAAACGCAGAAAGGAAGATGCAATTCACGCGGCGAAGGAGCAGGAAGCAAGGCTTGCAGCTCAGCGTGCTGAGCTTGAATTGGCACGAGAAAGAGAGCGACAGCTTCAATTGGAGTTGGAAGGCCTTGAGCAGGAAAGTTCTTCAGATGAGGAAGGCCCCGAAGATGTCGTTCCTCGGGATGCCACACCGACTCAAGGTCAAGTCTTTCCCGCGGAATTAACCACTGCGCTTCCAGCCTCCAACACAATCTCAGCGCCGCCGGCAGATCCCGTCGTCAGTCCCGGCCAACCCTCCGCGGGTAATCTCAGCCCCGAGGCTGAATCCAAGAATCCCTACTTCAAGAAAATTGGTCAGGGTCCAGAAATTCCTGCTGCTTCTCTGCCGGTTTCCCATCCCACAACAAGCGTGCCTTTAAAAGCCGATTCCCAGTCGACGAACCCTTTCCATCGATTAGCGCAACAACAGGAGAGCACCAAACCGACTTTCACTGCTCCTGGACCTTTGGAACGCAAATCGCGTGTTCGTCCTGAGGCAGACGATGACTGGTCTGCAGCAGGGTCTGACTTCGATTCCTCTGATGACGACGATGACGAACGCCCTGGAGGTGGCAGTGCGAAGCAGCTCGCCAGTATCTTATTCGGTACTATGGCTCCTCCGCGGCCCTTGAGTGCCATGGATGACAAGCCTTCGTCGAAATCGTCCATTTCTGTACCAGATATCCCGGTTATACCACAAGTGCCATCCGCTGAGAAGGAAGATACGGTTTCTGGAACTGAGGGAGAGCCCTCGCCACCTCCACCTCCCCCCCCCCCTCCCCCGGTGCCTGTTTTGAGCGTCGAGCCTGCTGCTCCGCCGCCGCCGCCGCCGCCGCCGCCGCCGCCTCCTGCACCCGGCATGGCCCCTCCTGCTCCACCTCCGGGTATCCCTCCGCCACCTGCACCCTCATCGGCACCAGCGGGTGCAATGGACCGAGGTGCTTTGCTAGCCTCCATCCAGGCAGGTAAAGGGCTTAGGAAAGTGCAGACCAATGACCGAAGCATCAGTTCTACCGCAGGTCGTGTTTTAGACTAAGAACGCGATCTACTTATCCATGAAATGTTTGTTTGAAGAGCTTTACCACTTTCGATGTTGAGAATGTAGTTGAAGATGCGCCTTGAACCTCACCTCGAATTTACGTTACTGCTTTAGATGACTACGTAAAAAGAGCACCAGGGGAAATCCTCATAACAGTCAAAAACAAAACCTAACAAAGCATTGATGTGACTAAAATACACCCTTTCGATATATATCTTAATCTATATATAGTGTATAAATGACAGCAAACCAACAAGCCCCTCCGCAAAAGCCACTGAAGGAATGTAATATTCCTGCGAAACATTTTAGATAATAGCTCCCAAAACCCTTGCAAACTTCAACTAAGAATTTCAGCGACAACGTTGCCGAGTGTACTGATACCCCATAAGACCATAAGGCCCCAGCCAATCTTCCGGTCCATCCTCCAGCCATTCAACGGAACTACAATCAATAGCCCGAGCAGAGTAATCAATAAAGTAGCGCCACTGATGACAAGTACTTTCGAGACCTCAATTTCGTAAGAGCCTCCGTGCGCTTCCATTGTTCCTGGCCTCGCATTCACAGTCATGTATAGACCTCCCAAGCCAATTCCTAGAAGAATATTTAGCATGGGCCCCCCAAAGCAGGCACTTAGTGCCATGACGGGGTAGCCCAGGCGCGCAACAGTGATATCTGCAACAAGGTCACCTAGAGAGTTGCCCACGGCGAAAACCGTGAGTCCTAGAAGAGAATCACTGATGTTCAAGATAACACCCAAGGTCTTGAGGAGGTTGACCACTTCTGTGGCTATTGTCGCAATCCAGAAGATAGCGACGACAAACCCTAACAGTGCTAGAAAAGGTCGCCACTCTTTTGGAGGCTGCGAAGCCGAACAGTGCCGCGTGCTGATTATAAGGGCCGTACAACATACCAGCGAAAAGAGTAGTGAGACCAAGAACGGTAATAGTAGACTGCGAAGCTTCAGATCGGGATCCAAGGCTGTCCAAGTAATCAGAGCCACAAAGAAAGGACCCGTGAAAAGCTGGACCCAGACCAGCCAAGAGCACCACTCTTTCGTGGCCGTTGTACACGAACCCGCGCCTTCTTCAATGACAGGGATTTCGGAATCAAGACGTGATTGCGGTGGTGCACACTGAGATTTCCGGCTTGAATGAATGGCATCTTCGGCTCTGGGTTCATAATCAAGGGCATGTAGAAGTGGGCTGTCTTCCGGTAAAGCTACCAAGGGCGCAGGGTTATTGACATTATCCGCAGGTGTTATCACGACGGAAAAACCACCAGCATCAGGGCTTGACTGTGCTGCCTCAATGACAGGGAGTGTGATTGTCAACAGAAACACACTAGGAGCTGCGATGACGCCTAAAAGTCGCTCCCAGATAGATTTATATTTCCATCCGACCATTGTAGGAAAAAGTATCGCAATGATTGACTGAAAGCTGGACCAAGACGTAGCCCAAGATGTTGCCGACGTTTTGATCTGGTTGTCCCCATTGACCTCAACACCGTCCTGAAAGTAGAGTGGTTCAGTGGGACTTGTAGCAGGCGGCAAGCGAATGCTCGGTGCCCTTGAAGACACTGGACCCATTCCATCCAGAAGAGGTGGGAAAGGGCTAATTGGGCTATCTAGATGGGCATCCGCAGATAAGGCCGTACCCCTAGGGGATATCGGCAGCGGAGAACTGGGATGTGAGTGTGATGATTGATACGTGGGTAAGTGGAACAATTCCGGAGGAGCAAGGAGGGTTGGACTCTGGGGTATGCAATCGGGCTGATGTGTGTCGCCTATTGCTTGACTGTTGACCGAGGGTTGGCGGACAGTCAGCAGGGGTTGTCGGGAGTTAGACTCTAATATGCTTGTGTCCAATTTTAGGTCCACTGCAGCGTTGGCAGATACGGCTCGAGTTCGAGTCGGAACACGTGCTTGATTAGGATGCAAGCGATCGCTGGCCAAGGGTCGACTAGCGTGCGGATGAGATGCAACCGAGACGTTGTCCGAATACACATATGACGTGGCCATTTCCTCATTGTCTGAATATTGGTCAAGGTTGACAGGTGGGGCATCTGAGTGAAGATTCCTCGATTTTTGGAGAGAAGTAAGAATGGACTGGAATTCCAGCGCACCCACGAGGCTTGGCCGGATGGGATTTAGAGTATTGCGTCGGCGGGCAATTGGGCGGAAGACACGCATGTTGTCCCGTATCTCAGCCAGGTAACGGTTGCGGGTTTCATCGTCTTCCTCTCCTTGCCAATTCCCAGCATCGGACCTTTCCAGCGCGTTGAAATCTTCGCCGTGAAGGAGACTCGTAGACTCTGAGGCTATCCCAGGATCATCGTCCTCGATCTCTTCAATGTCGAGCTCTTGATTCTCAGGTATGTGGAAGTGCGACCGTGCTGCTAGGTTTCGCTCGTAGGCTCGGCGCCGTCGTAGGATATACCAGTGCCATGTTACAACAAGCACCACATAAAAACAGTATAGAGCTACCATTGTGGCTGACTCCCAGACATGGAGGCGTCCGTCAGCAAGTAGAAACATACTGAAACTCACAGCCACAACAAAGTATCCTACGTCTCGAACGAAACTCCTCCGCGCGACCTTGAATGGGCGGACCAGCGCCATCGAGCCAGCAACCACTGATGTTATAAAGCTTGCTGCGCCGAGAAGCTCCCCGATAGCCAGACTGCCACTGTTTGATCGCATGGCAGCAAACGTGGAAAACACGTCAGGGCTTCCGTTGCCAAAGGCAAGGAAGGTGACGCCTGTGAGGCTTTCACTCAAACCGAGAACACTGGCCAGAGTGCTCAGGTCAATGCAGAGGAAATCACTGGCAGCAATGCCGATAGTACTGAACAATAGGGACAGCCATGATATGATGACTGTGAGCGCCAAAGGCTTTGCATTCGCTAAGGTGCAATAATAGAGCTCAAGGTAGGATATGAGTCCATCTTGATCATCCGGGCAGTTTGTCCTGATGAAAGAGCACTGGTCCTGGACTTGACGGACTAAACGACACTGGATAGGGCGTACAGGAGGTCAGAACTCCGTACTTCATTCAGACTACTACCCGAGACTTGAGAAGAGATACGTACCTCCACTGTGTTGTCTCGCTGGCGAAGCCGCCATAAGTCGGGAACGGCAGGTTCATGCGTGAGCCGTCGCAAAGTCCAACTAGAGAGACCGAGAAATGTTAGAAGTATGATGGACCAGAAAAATGGCCGAACAGAGAAGCGCCTTTGCCGAGAGATTCGGTTGTCGCGAGAAATCAGTCTTGATAGCATTTTGAGAGATATCGCGGCATCCTGGGCGGTAGGCCGTCACGATCCACACACCCGGATAAGCACGTGGCTGCTGCGAAACAAGGTGAGCACCATCCAGCTGCGGCAAAAAGGAAACGATGAACAAAGCCGTGAAGATTTGAAAGATGGAGACAGAGGATTTTGGTGTCGCGCAAATAAACGGGCCGAAGATTAAATGGGGAAGATAGAAAGAGAAGGGGAAGAGCAGGTGGAGGACGGATAGTTTAGACAGAGTGACAGACACCAGCAAGCGGTATGTTAGTAAAGTAACTTAACTACCTACGTATAGAGAGCACCAGCCACTGATGTCACGCTAGGAGGCGGTGCAGATATGACTATTGTACAGTACAGTACAGTACGGAGTACGTCTACTAACTAGTCATAGCTAGTACTATATTACTAACTGGCCGCACTAGAGCTGACTCAGCAAGCGGGGAAATTGCGGTAGTGGTTACTGTGGCGGGGCGGATGTTTTGTTGATTGTTTGTTTCGTCCCAGATGGAGGGTTGACTGGGTCAAAACGATAATCACCACACACCACCACCACCGTTTCCTACGGGCTCATGGTACCTGATGCCGGCTATCTGGCTCGTCTGATTTTGAACTCAGAACTGGCTCCCGTAGGGCTCTATACTTATTTGGTTTCCGCCGTTTTACTGGAATCCCCTCACCCACCAACAGAGACCCCCTCTGCACAATGCCGCGCGTGGCTAATTCCAAGCACCGTCGCTCCAATGGTGGCGCATCCACCCCTCTCAAGAACTCTCCCATGAGGTGTGCACGGTTATAAGTCCGTAATTATCTTGGTGGGAAGTACTGACGGACAGTCTTAGGATACCACTTAACGACGACATGGGAGAGAAAGCAGCGCGCATGGAGGCGCGCCAAGCTCGACATGACCGCCACATGGACCAAATCAAGGCTGCTGTCAAGACGCCTATGCCGCCTCGACGACATCCTGGATACGACCATAGTGCCAGCATGAGCCCAGCCACCCCTCGAGGCTCGGGGTATCGAGGGCGAGAAAGTGATGTGGGTGGACGCAGGGCAGTGACACCGATGAAGCGCGTACCAATCTTGGCCAACTTTGAAGAATGGATGAAAATGGCCACTGACAACAAAATCAATGCTAACAACTCCTGGAACTTCGCACTGATTGACTACTTCCATGATATGTCATTACTCAAGGAGGGCGATGGTGTCAACTTTCAAAAGGCTAGTTGCACGCTGGATGGTTGCGTCAAGATCTACACTAGCAGAGTAGATAGCGTGGCGACGGAGACAGGCAAACTACTAAGTGGCTTAGCCGACAGTCGCGACAAGAGAGCTCGCGAGACCGGAGCCGAGGGCGGCGATGAAGATGGGGCAGACGAGGACGAGGACGGAGAAGAAGGTGCCGCTCGAAAATCAAGGAGAAAGGTTCGTTTGCCCTCAGAACTCTATCCTCAATCTTCTTAACAGTTGTTAACCCAGGCGAAGGCACAGCGATCACACGAAGCTACATTAGCACCATCCTTCTCCTCGCTCCAATTGAAAAAATTTGAGCTCGAATTCTCCGTTGACCCATTGTTCAAGAAGGCCTCCGCCGATTTTGATGAAGGTGGTGCCAAAGGCCTACTTTTGAATCACCTATCTATTGATGGACAGGGACGCATAGTGTTTGATAGCAGTGATGATGCGGCCGCGGCAGCTGAAGCAAATTCAAAGGATGCAGACGATCAGGAGGCGGAATCACAGGAACCAGAACTACCATCATCACCGTCTTCGGCCAGAAAAACAGCAGACAACATGTTTGAGGACAGCATGGAGATAGATATGACTCCCCTGGCGGAACGGTTTTTCCCAAACTTGGACCTCGTGGACAATCAGGACATTTGTCCGTCACTGAAGAACTTTGATCTCGGCGACCCAAGCGGCTCGTTAGACATCCCTTTCTTGAAGGCATCCGACGACTGGCGGCATGAGAGAGGCCAAGAGGAGGCGGGTGCCGTGAATGATGCATCTGGTATCATGCTGGATGATGACAACGCAGTCGGGTTCGACGACGACGATGATGATGCCACGCTGGCTGGCTTCGATCTAGGCGGAGATGCTGGCTTTGGTGAGGGTGGTGAGGTCTGGGCTCGTGAAGCTGCTTTGGAGCCCATGCTGAAAGTGCATCGTGTTGATCGAGAAGGCGAGGATGATGCAGATGGCGAAGATATGGACCACGATGATGGTGATGCCTATGCTATCTCTTTGACCCACCAGCCAGACAACAGGGATCATGAAAATATTCTCAGCTACTTCGACAATGCCCTACAGAAGAACTGGGCAGGGCCGGAGCATTGGAAGATTCGCCGGATCAAGGAGCATGCCGCTGCAAGTAACGCCAACGTCGCGCCGAAGCAACGTAGGGAGAAGGAACCTTTCGAGATTGATTTCTCTACACCGCTTGATACTACTATCGGGGAACTAATCTATATGCCCGCCAGCTCGAATTCCACAATATCGCTGCCTAGAACACAATGGAAAACAAAGGGTCGTAACCTTCTTCCGGATGACAAGCACTTCAATTCACGACAGTTGCTTCGCCTCTTTCTCAAGCCAAAAGCGAGGTTGGGATCCAAGAGATTCATGGCTTTAAAGCGATTTAACCACCGCCGACATGATCAAACCTCGGGCAATGGGGAAATGGACGAGGCATTCTGGGCAAATCACAAACCGGAGGATGTTGCCGCTTCCGACGAGAGTGTTCCAGGGGCATATGACGCCAACTTTTTCGCGGATGATGATGGCCTTGCATTTCCGAACGGTTTCGACGACGACGATGACGAAAACCTCCCATTCGCTGATGCTAGAGAAATACTTTCCCCGCCCGCGGATGGAGGTCCAGGTGCATCTGTAGGAGAGTCTGCGGGAACATCAGGCCTTCCCGCACTCCTTGACATGATGGGGTCAGCCCCTGGCTCCACATTGCCAGTTGGTGCTGGAGGATTTGGATCGCAACTAGTAACGCAGGGCGGTCGTCGGGCACGTCCCGAGTATGTCGCTTATGCTCGAGTGGCTAAGAAGGTTGATGTGCGTCGGCTAAAGCAGGAAATGTGGAAGGGCATGGGAGAGCGGCTGATAACGACATCCTCGTTTGATACGCCCTGTGAGGCAGATACCGCACCCAATGCCACCGAGGAAGCTACGCCTCAACACCCCGAGACCGAGGCGCAGCCGATTCCAACGTCTACACCAATGGGTAAAGGCCAAGAGGATGTTTCTGCGGACAGTACGCTTCGATTCACACAAATCATGAACTCACTTAAAACGGTTTACGCCCCGGAGAAGCTACGCGACATCAGCACGTCTTTTGGTTTCATCTGCCTGCTCCATTTGGCTAATGAACAAGGTTTAGTTTTGCAGAATGATGATGGCCCTAGCAGCCTTGGTGCTGGAAGGCTGGAAGAGATCTTCGTTACTAAAGATGCAAATGCGATCCTTGACGAAGGCAATGTATGAAGGGAGAGTGTGATCGGTAGTACTACCACATGCACAAGGCCGATCACCGCGATATGAGGTAATGCTGACTATTTCTGTGACATGCTTGGGTCTCGTGGGCATAGGCGTTCTGGATGGAGGATTCTTTCGTCAGGAAATGGGCCGGCGTGGCTGTCTTGGCTGGCTCTACCGGTATGCTAATTCTGCGGTGCAATATTCAATGAGAGAATAAGCTCACATCTCGCGGCTGTCTTTATTGGCTGCGTTTTCTTGTCTTCCTTGTTTCAAACGTCAAATAGTTTAAGCAATGCCGGGCATATGAATACTTACATCTTCTTTTTTTACCATAACGTTGACATAAATGATCATGATGCTCGCGTACCCTTTGAACCAGGTGTCACATACTCCTTAACTAAGTTCGTCGGCTTGAAGTACTTCCAACATCTGTCTCTAGGGATATGAATGCAGCAATGCAGCTTCACAGTGACTAGACATTTGCAATTCCAATAACACAGAATTATGAGGTGCGACACTGTAGGTACATGCAAGCGTGGTATCAATTCGAATTACGTATCAACAAAGAAAGAATCAGAAACAATTAAAGTAGATCGGCTCGAAAGGAAGCGGTAGTTAAGACCAACATGAGAGTTTGAGGGAGAGGTGCGCACAGATATCCCCACAAAATCGACTATCCAGGACATGGAAGTATTGGGAGGTGCTTGGTGAAAAGGGAAGTAAGGGCTGGCTGATGCCCAATCACAACCGCGGCCTCCAGCAAAGCTTCCCAGACCTAGTGGTAAGCCTAATTAGTGTTCAATCCATGTGCGTGTGGGTTTCTTCCCTCCTATTTTTCGTCATGATTCTCTCCAACTATCGAACTCAGCCCCGGGAAAATCCAGGGCTCATGGGGCTCTTGTATGCCTCGGGGATAGGTACATTCTCGTAGGTACGTTCGCCGGGTGCCACCGTCATGTGATGACTTGAAGTAGTAGGAATCGGAGCCGGTGAAGGGAACTCTTCTTGAGCTGGCTGAGGAGTCGCATGCTGAACCCGGATGGGCGGAGGCTTGAGCTGGAAAGGTGCTTGGGATTTGGTCTCGGTTGGCTGGTAGGCAAACTGAGTAGCATATACCTCTCCATTCTCTGCTGCCGAGTAGGGATCTTGCGGAAAGGCGTCTTGGGGCATGCCAGTTGATACGATAGGCGCCTTAGGCGTAGGAGGAAACCTAGGAGTGTTCGGCGCAGACTGTCGGAGCTGGGCCATGTACAAATCTGTTCTGGCGCGGTCGCGGCGGTCCATGGACATTGCCAGCTTTCTTTTGGTCCAGAAACGGTACGCAACAACCACATAGACCAGGAGGACCAGTATTTCCAAAACAATCTCGATCACGGCACAGACCAATCCCCAATCCTGTCAGTTTTATCGTGTTAGCCAGGCAACACTGAGAGAAGGAGGTTAGCATACCTGCAAGCGGCAAAGGAGCGCGTAATCAATCTGGTCTTGAAATAGCTGCTCTCGTTCGTTGTGAACGCAAGACCACCCCCAGAGATCTTTGTTATTCCCACTGGACTTGGAGTGTTGAAATATGGCGGCGGCCACGATCCACATCACCAAATCGAAGACGAAAACGCCAATTGTGATTGACGAATAGTATAGAGCAAACTTCTCCGCACGTTTGTGACCACCTTTCCAGTAGCCCCAGAATACTGCGAGACAGGCAAGCAAAGAGATACACGAAACCCCCAGCAGCAGATATTGCG